AAGGAACGTCCCCGTGACCCCTACAGACCAGGAGGTGAAGGACTTTTCTTCGTATTTGTTGAGTGTGATACATGCTGGACTACGGCAACGATGTGAAGGAGCAACGTCAGCGGCGCGAGTTCACGTTGAGACATCTCCACGTGGGGTCTCCTCGTGATGGGAGCCCCACGGTGTCCGCGTCTCTGCCGCTCAGGGCTGCGCTGCCACCCGGCGTGGGGAGCGGTGGCGCAGCGGTTAGCAGCGCGCTGCGCTACGAACCCGGGCCAACTGAGTTGGATTCCCGGTCATGGCCGCCAACGCTGGTGACGAATGTTCTGAACAACCGGTCCTGGGCCTCCCCTAGGTCGACTCGGCCTCATGTGTGCCTGGTGCGTGTGTGTAGTAAACATCGGCGCTGTGGAGACAAAGGCGGCCGGGAATGGTGTTAGCCTTCCACCCCCTCGTGTGCCACTGTCAGCCTTCACAGGTGTTAATTACTAATAGCACTTGCCCCAACAGTTTGTTAAGGCTACACGGGGGACCTTTGTCTTTGTCTCTGCTAGTCAGGGCTGTGCTGACATCGAGTGATACAAATAGATCGATGTAAGTTGTTTTTACCGCCTTAAATGCAAACAGCTGATTAATGCAGAAGCTGGTTGCTAGGGAGATGGGCGCCACAGCCACGCAACGACGGTTAGAGAGAGACAAACTCCAAATATACGGCAGGGTCGAGATCGAACCCACTGTTGTATATATTCGGTCTTGAAAAATTATAAAAATTGAATGAAAATGAAAAAAGTTGTATATTTCAGAAGCACGCTAATTTATACTCTTTGGTTTTTTCGGTAAAGTCACGTAGGTAAAAAAATAATATAAATTAAATCACGACGTTTTGGGCGCAATTTTTTACCTACTTGACTTTACCAAAAAAAAACAAAGAGTACGAATCCTTGCAGTCACGAAAACTTCAAATCTAAAATTCATGCTAATTTATGTAATTATGCTTCGCTTCGTGGTTTAGGGTTGTATTATAAATCGGGATAATACAATGATTCTTGCTTAACTTTTACTGATTGTATTTTAGCATGTTTGTGTCAGGTCTAAAAATGCAGATCTCACCGCAGGAAACAGTTCTTATAATTAAGATTATTATGCATGAACTTAGGAAGTCACCACTCAGACTCTTCTGTGTTAAGCAGCTTTAATATCTAAAAAACCCCATAACATTCTAATATGCGAACTCTTATGCTAGGAATGTCAACACAGTACTCCTGGAGATGTCCTCCTCATTGATCCGTACATTTAGCCTTCAATGGTTACGTTTGTTAATCTGGGTAACAGAACAATTGGCTCATTCCTGAGAGTAAGGTGAGCATATACGGCAATAGGAAAAAGTCCTTAAAAATTTAGACAATATTCATACGAACAGTAATAAAGAAACATGTCCCAAAAGCAAAAGTGGACCTCAGTGAATTCATTGGTAAGATTATGCAATTAACGAATTGTCTTGGAACAATGGTGTGCGGAAGTGTGCTTGCTTGTCTAGCAAATGCTTACCAATTGGCTAAGGCTTCAATAAATTTGTAGGCAAGATTCTGCGATCAAAATAAATATTTTACACAATTGTCTCCCTGTGAGTGTGTATATTTGTAACACAGATGTTTATTAATGTTTAGTTACATCAATAAATTCATTGGTACAGTTAGGCTATTAACAAAAAGAATGATTAAAGTACTTCTAAACGACCATATCAACGTAACTCAATGGGCAGCAATGCTTTTCACGATCAGCTAATAGATAACACACCAGCTTAGGATGGCCACCCTTTTTGAAACAAAGACAACTTTGGAGTAATCTTATTAGTCCCGATATGTGCGTTATGTGTGTGGGTGGATTGTCTCCTTGCTCAACTCTTTGTGTTAAGCAGACGCCGAGGTAGGGCGTGTCTTGTACCAACAATTCCTTGGTTCCCTGTTGAACAATGAGTCATGTGTGTGTGTGAGCGTGTCATACACACGGCACTCTCTCCTTCTGTCTTGGCGGCAGCTGCAGGCCTCTCTGCTGCTGGTAGAGCTGAGTCGGCACAACTCTTGTCTTTGAAGGTGCCTGATTGCGCTCTCAACTCGTCCGCAGGTCGCCGGTGCCGAAACTCTTTCTAGGTTGTGCCGGTCACACACTCTCCCTTGCACCAGGTTCTTGCTGACTTGACCTTTGTAGGAGTGTGCTCGGCTTCCGAGTCCACATGCTCGTAGTTAGTCGTTAGCCGCTGCTGCTGGTCCTGTGCGATGCTCGCTTGGTCGATGTTTGGCGCTTTTCCACCCTTTCTCCAGGTTGATTGCTTGTCGTTGCTCGTCACTCTTTCTCTCTCTTTCTCTCTTGCTGCAGCTGCTGGTGGGAGCTGGCACCCAATGTGGAATAAAACTTTTAGCGATGCTTCGTCTGTCAGCGCCAAACTCATACTCGGTGACACATCGTAACTCTGCAAGCCTCGCCATCCTCGGTCGATTGCGGGGCCTACCCCCGGAGCTTGCCGCAGCAAGACTCAGTTGCATGATCTGTGTCCTTACGTGTGAAATTCTCCCCTCTCTGCGCGTCTCTTGCGAGAAAAAAAACACATGCCCGCTGTCTCGTTCTCCTCCCGTGGCCGCAGCTGCCTGGTTGCCCCCCCCCCCCCCCCCTTTGACATTTGACTGGCTGCTCTCCATCACCATGTTTATATTTTGGTTTGGTTCCCTCCCTCTCTGCCTTCGTGGTGTTTGCTATCTCAAGGGGAGGCACCCTCTGTTCATACATATTTTATTGCTACCATGTGTTGTCAAATTTGTGGGAAGACAAAGGCGGTTTGGAAGCTCTGGTCTTCTGGACTACATACTATATGGGCATGTGTGTTTGACCTATTGTGTCTTGTATCTATTATGAATTATTCTAGGTCTAATACCTCATGATTATTATTTGGTTTATGTTTAACCAATATTTGTAATGTACCATGGTTGTTACCTCAGGTCTTCCGAGGGTTTTTATTAAGCTTTGTTCTCCATCCATGTCGCCAGGGATCCATGCTTCTTATTCTCGAGTTATATTTTGATATCCTGAGGTTGGAGATATAGCAACGTTTTGACTTAAGCTTTCGTGACTGCTGGAGTTCATATTCTTTGGTTCTTTCGGTAAAGTCACATATATAGAAATATATCAACAAAAATTATATATAAGGTGAACAAGAGTAATATTATTGTGTTATTTTATTTTATCAATTTATTATTTTATTCTCATTCTACGTGACTTTACCGAAAGAACCAAAGAAGAAGAGTAATATAAGTAATAATAAAAGCCACTAATGTAGACTGCAGTCTGGTTCTTAATCTGAGAGTGTACTGGGTCTATAATGTCGATTTATTCTTGTTGCTAAGTTTCGAACATTTACCATTGGAGGAGAAAAAGGATAAAGAAACGCCAGTTGTAATGTCCGTGGAAAGCCGAAAAGGCTATGTCAGCAAGTTTTGATTTGAAACCAGGCTGTCCTGCTGGAGATTTGTTTGTGAACTTTCCAAAACGTCCGAAAAGGTTGTGACGCATGGTCCCCTGCCCCATGGAGATTTCATTAACCTCCCTTTGCCCCGGGGCTTTATTATTTAATGGCCTCCAGATGCTTGGTGTGGCTTGTGGGAGGTAGTGGGGTGAGAGTGTTTGTTTAACTTTTTAAAATTGTCTTCTTTGGTTCTTTCGGTAAAGTCACGTAGAATGAGAATAAAATAATAAATTGATAAAATAAAATAACACAATAATATTCTCACGACGTTTCGGCCACAACACAAGCGGCCTTCATCAGGTGAAGGGAGCGAGACTGTCTGGTAGGACAGCGCTGGAGTGAGAGAGCCACGTTCAGATCACGGCTTTTAAGCTGTGTGAGAGGAACAAAGAGCCTTAGAGCCGCGACTCTAAGGCTCTTTGTTCTTTTATTCTCATTCTACGTGACTTTACCGAAAGAACCAAAGAAGATGAATCATTGCAGTCACGAAAGCTTTAAATCGAAATTTTTAAAATTGATTTTTAAAAATATATCTTGGCGGAATTATTCTTAATAATTTTTTTTGGAAAAAGGCCTATATATACAACAGAAGTAGGATTTGCTTGAGTGGTCAGTGAGTTCCCGCCAAATTCTTCGGATAGCGAACTTCATGGCTCTCTTTTCCCCTCTGTACAATCCTTCAAAAATACATTTATTTCACCCATGACTAATGTGTAAGAAATTCTCGCAACATTTTTCCTATATGATATATTTTTTCAATAACATTTGAAAACTAAACCTTTTACAATTTTAAAAATGTTAACATATTTTATAACATCAAATTCCGACCAACAATTGTCCGTCTTACCGTCCAGAGTTTTTTTGCATTGCTCGCAGGTGAAATGAGGTGCCCAGGGTTTGTCTTGAACCCCGACAGGCATGCCAAAATATGGCTTGCAGGCCTCATACATCTTAGCAGATGCTTCCACAGAGTACTTTTAACTCTTGTCTTGATAAATTGGCGGCAGACATAGCAAAATGTATCTGGCGGATGCTTGCAGCCTCTTGATGCCATCTCAGAAAAACGCAGAATGTATCCACTTAGGCAGCTGGAACTAAACTGAACTGATGGGCCTAAGGCCCCTGTATTTAAATTACTATTTATATTACTTGAAAGTTCTAGAAAGTTATAGAAGTTACTCCAAGTTTACGCAGCACTGAATCTGGAATGTTCTGGAAAGTATCAATATCCTGGTCACAAAAGCAAAGTTTGTGGGGAATAATAGCCATTTTCTATATTTTTAGGCATAAGCAATTAGGAATTAATACGTACTACCAAGGAACAATAAATAAATAAATGTTACACAGTGATATCGGAATCTGTGTTTGTAGTGCAGGAGGAATCCGATGAGCTGTGAAGCTCTTTGTGTTCACAGATGGTGCAGTGGTGAGGGGCGGGCGTGGGGGGAGCGCGTGGGGGGTGGCGGGGAGAGGGGTGACGTGGTTACGTCACCGCGTTAGGGGAGCGTGCATGGTGACGTCACCACGTCCATGACGCAGAAGCAGATATTTTGAACAGCTCGGACATTGTTGGTGCCTTTTGTGTTTGTCGCCATATCTTTATTTGTTCATTAATTTGTAGATTTAATTTGCTTGGCAGTGGCTGTGAGGATTTGGTCCTCGTGTTTAATTAATGAACAGTGTTGCGGGATGCAGCAAGCATGAATGACGCTGTACACAACTACATTGTTGTTTGTGTTCAGTATTTTTTTTATTGTAGAATCAATTATACAAGCGTTATAACGCCACTGCCGTAGGCGTACATTTAAACCTTTAAAATCAATTATATTATTGTTGTTGTGTTTCTCCCACATTCCATGAAACCACCAGTGTATAAACACATCCCAGTTCACCATTGCTAATTACTGCACCCTACACCACAGTCACACTCCTCTGGCAGGGTGAATACATCTACGCTGGCTTCACACACACAGAGCAGTACTTATTTTATCACCCGCCCCCCCATGAAGGTTGTGAGGATTATTTACGCCAACCCCCCCATTGTGATAGAGAGCCACGCAGCCCTTAGCCACCGACAGCCACCAGCCAATCACGGGCGTGGCGCTCCGCGTGACGGTGACGAGGGTGGTGAGCGCCGTGCGTCGTGGCGTCTGCCATCTGTGCTGTTCACGTTCACCTCTCTCAGGACGGACCACTCAGATCCACAATCCTCACTGAGTCACCATCATCACCCCACACCCACAGCCCAGGATGTAGGGGCTGAGTAAAGGTTTGTTGAAATGAGTGCAACAGCGCCATTGAGTCGGTGCTGTAAAACGACAGCAGCCCCGCGTCCCAGTCCAGATGGACCCCAACTCTCCGTGGAGGTTCCGGGACCGACAGTGACGTCACTACCCCACCATGCACCACTGAGAAGCTGTCGTCAAGTTTCTGTAGACACCAGGAGACTTCACTCCCTCCCAAGCGGCACTCAGCACCACCCCCTCTACGTGGGATCGTCCTGTATGCGACTCCAACCCGACACCACCCCGCTACCTCCACGTGCACCTCCCAGTAGTGCTGACCTGACGAGAAGCTCTCAGAGCACAGGGCTTGATCCCACTCATCAAAGTGGTGTGGGTGATGGGGGCGACCCTGGGGGACATCGCTCCGCGTCACCGTCCTGAGATCCGAGGAAATCTGGAGATGGTCGCTGGCTGAGTTTGTGTCCAGAGTCGGTGAGCGTCCATCTGTGGTGAGGACAGCAACGACACCCGCACAGTGGTCATGGAGACGTGTGCGCAGTGCACGTAGCGTGTACACACACACACACGCTGGTGTTGTGTTGTCTGTTGTGTTGTTGTGGTCATGCCGCACTACGTTATACCTTGATAATAACACTGATTATCACGCGTATGACAAATGCATACAGTATTAGTGTACACATACTAATATCCGTTAGTATTAGTGTACACATACTAATATTCGTTAGTATTAGTGAAGACATACTAATATTAGTTAGTATCTGTGTACACAATTATATAATCACTTGTGAATAACAATAATTAGTGAATGATTAGTGAATAATAAATAATAACAATAGTACTACACTAACTTGACCATGTGTGTGTGTGCAGTGGTAGTGAACAGGGGTGATGATGCCAGCACCACGATGTTAATGCCACTCTCACAGCGTCTCTACAAACACGACGCCTGTACCACAGACATCAGAGCCTCGCACACTCTCACATCCACGCACAGACATTGCGTGTCACTCTGTTGCGGGATGAGCGCCTCCCCGTGCCATGCACGTCCTTGAGGGGGGGGTTATTTGACCATACTTCACCACTCTCGTCGGTGCGCGTTGGCGATGATGGGGATCGTGAACGTAGAAGCGTAGAGGTGCAGTACAACAATGTGATGTGTAAACATTCGAAACAAGGGAGACAAAGGCGGCCGGGCGTGGTGCTGCTGCTCGCTAACAGCACTTGCCCCAGTACCCAGTAGTAGAGTTTACTAGAATATTTAAACTGTTAAACTAATTTTATTTCAGCAGGTAGAGCCCACTGATCCATGTCGCTCTCTTTCAGAGTCTGCGTCTCTCTCCCCATGGTGGCGTGGATTTTCCCCTGGTTCCTCGCGTTTTTCCCTCCACATTTGGAATCAATTTGCATTCAGAGGATTTGGCTGCTGTTGTAAATATCCACGTGATGAGCCACGTCGTAGAGCTGTCATTTGTGATAGTCAGGTCGCTTCCGAAAAAGAGGGAAATGGTTCAGTGGGTTCCTTACCAGATAAAATAAAATGAAAAGTTGATTAAGGTGGAGAGCACAGAAGTGCAGTGCAAAACGGCGGGACACGCGGGTGCAAGACTGTGCAACTCACAGACGAGAGGCAGGAGTCTGCGCATGGCCCTTTCAAGGGAGCGGATCGTGGTGGCGTCCAGTGAAGTGGCAGGTGGGGGTGCAGATTCCTTTGGGAACTTTCTCCTGGGACAACCACCAACAGCATTACACACAGCCTCGTTTAACCACAGCATCGGAACACTCAGCATCCATAGCACACACAGCAAGTGTCTCTCACACAGCCCGTGTCTCACACACAGTGTCTCACACAGTTCGTGTCTTACACACATCCAGTGTCTCACACACATCTTGTGTCTTACACAGTTCGTGTCTTACACACAGCCAGTGTCTCACACACACATCTTGTGTCTCACACACAGCCCTTGTCTCACACATATCCTATGTCTCACACAGCCAGTGTCTCACACACATCCTGTGTCTCACATACAGCCCCTGTCACACACAGGCAGTTTCTTACACACAGTCCGTGTCTCACACACAGCCGATGTCTCATGCACAGCCCGTGTCTCACACACAGTGTCTCAAAAACAGCGTGTATGTCTAAGACACACAAAAACACCTGTGCCTAACACACACAGCCCGTGTGTCTAACACAGACAGCCCGTGTGTCTAACACCTAATGTGTTGTGAGTGTTTAACCATGAGACATTAAGCATCTGTACCTGCGCGTCACCTCCAGATGCCCCTGTGGAAGAGAGAGACAGGGATCATGAGTGAAGTCTCTACCCTTGGACCACGAGTCCCTCTGCCACTGCCCGCTCTGTTGTTCTGGACACCCAAACGGCATCTCCACAGAGGCGCTCCCCACCTGCAGGAAGGTGAGCGAGTCCCTCTCCTGCTGCAGAGCGTGCAGGCGAGCGGCCGCTGCCTTGAGCTCGCCGATCTCCCGCTTGTGACGAGCGATGTCCTCCTTGATCCGGGACAGCAGCTTGCGCTCCTTCATGGTCACGCGACGGAGAGCCTCCCTCTCGTCCTCGTCCAGAGCCTTCCTGAGGCAGGCGAACTTGCCCGTGATGTGACCCCTGATCCCGGCCATTGATTCCTGAGGAGATCCGGGGACCACGGTTGGCTCCCTGAGCCATGAGCCACTCCGTGTGTGCGTGTGGGCGCCATGGTGGCTAGGAGATGTTGACTCCTTCGCCTGGTATACATCAGGTCGTGGTTTCGATCCCGATCCTGACGACTGTATATTTAGTGTTTGTTCTCTCTGTAGTCGTATGGATTTTTCTCTGGGTCCTGCACATTTTGGATCAACGTTGCGCGTTTAGAGTATTTGGCTATCATTTTCCACATTGCAATCAGCCACTTTGTTGAGTTATAATTTGTAATAATCAGGTCGCTTCTGAAAAAGAACGACAGGTAAGTGGAGCCGTCCTTGGTAAAATAAAAATTAATTTAGTCTATGGGTCTCTATGGGTATTGAGGCCTCTCTCGGGGCCTCTATCTCTATGTATATGTGTGTGTCTCTATGGTGTCTAGGTATCTCTATGGTTTTGATATGTATATTAGTGTCTATGTATAGATATGGGTCGTTATGTATATTTTGCTGCTATACATTTCCACGTGATAATGATATCAGCCACTTGGTTGAGCAATCATTTGTGGTTGCCAGGTCGCTTCCAAAAAAGAGCTATACAGCAAAGTGGGCCTTACCTGGTAATATAATGACATAATATTTCCGAGTTGTGAATCATGCCCCAGTGACGAGGAGCCCATGGGACTGAGACTATCCATGCCAAGGGGACAAGAGGGGTTCCGCTCTCTTCTTGTTTCTCCTCTAGAGGGCGCTGGGGTCGTTGATATTGAGACTCGGGCATTTGGAGTCCAGTGGGGGCCCCCTCGTGGATCCAACGAGATGTGGCGAGATGATAACTACCTCGACTGGTGTACAGGTAGTCGTGGGTTCGACCACGACCCTGATGCCTGCGTGGATTTTTCTCCGAGTCCTCCGGCTGTTCCCTCAACATTCAGAATCGGCGTAATCCCAGTTGGGTTTTCCCATAAGTCTGACTCGGGTTTATAATCCAAGGCATTCGTTATTTACTGTGAACAACCCGCAGAGCCCAATAGAGTCTCCGGTTTCAAGCAAGCGTTTTGAGTGCAGTATTTAGAGTATTTTGCTGCTATCAATTTCCTTCTGCAAAAGAGCTACATTTCTAAGCGGGGCCTTACCTAGTAAAATTAAAAAAAATGGTTCAGTCTATGGGTCTCTATGTATCTATATGTATTCCTATTCATCACTATTTGTCCGGATGCATCTCTATGGGTCTATAGGTATTTATTTGGGTCCCTATGTATCACTATTTGTCCCTATGTATATCTATGGGTCTCTATCTCTATGTATCCCTATGTATCTCTATGGGTCTCTAGGTATTTATTTGGGTCTCTTTGTACCTCTCTTCATCACTACGTATCTCTATGGGTCTCTACAGTGATGGAAAAAAAGTATTTGGTCCCCTGCTGATTTTGTACGTTTGCCCACTGACAAAGAAATGATAAGTCTATAATTTTAATGGTAGGTTTATTCTCTATGGGTCTGCTGCTATATATTTCTACGTGATGATGTCAGCCACTTTGTTGTGCTGCTATGTTTGTGACAGCCAGGGTCGCTTCGGAAAAATCTACATAGCTCAGTGGGGCATTGCCTGATCAAATAATAGTTTAAATAAACTCTGGTGACGCGATTAGGGACGGTGTGAGGTGCAGCTGTGTGGTGTTCGTGCCTCTGCGTCCATGCCGGTGCACGACCTCCCATGCAGCGCAATAGCTGCACCACAGCTCCACCCCGACAATCCGTGGCACTCTCTAAAAATGTTTTGCCACAGGAGTGGAAGACGCCAAGCCTAGTAACCCGACCTCGCGGCAGACTCACCAATGCGGTTATCAAATGCGGTTATCGAATGCGGTAAACATGCAACCCCCTTGTAGTTAATATTGAGTTCAAAAGTGAATGATTCAATTAAACTAAGAGGCATCAAAGTTATGAAGCTGCACAAAGTTGGCATGAATGCATTTTGACCTTCACCACTTCCGCGGTGGGTGGAGGTCACGGGGGTCAAAGAGCCAGACCCAGACACGGCACCTGAACCTCCTTGCGAGCGGCCTCCATCCGCTTCACGGACTCCTCCGCCTTCTTCCTCTTCTCCTCCACTGCTCGCGTCTCCTCCCCTACGCGAGTGTAGTGAGAGACGAGACGTCACCTGGGGGAGACTCCAGCTTCCTGAGCCACCCCTCACATCGCCCTTCCTTCCACACCGACCCCTCCACAGTGAAAGCCCTCATCTCCACGCTGCCTCTCTACAGCGACTGAGACGGGGGGCACGGGGAGTGTAGCAGCAGCCGGTGAGAGCCGTGCTGGCTTGGTGTCTGTAGCACCTCGGATCCAAGGGCCCACGTGCCCACAGCTGTCTAGTTTAGAAGACAAATCTAGAATAGTTGTCTATCAAGTGGGTGTGATATCATTGTAAAATATATATCCACTTAATTCCTTTATACAGCATTTAGGGTTAGTGAGAGCCTGGCATGCAATATATCATAAGGCAGTTTTCTAAACGCGAACCAGGCAGAGAGACAGAGATTCAAAAGGGAGAGCATGAACACACAATTGTTTTTTTTTCATCAGATGTGAAGCCGAGTGACAGAATTAGTCAGATCGTGGTGTGGTGTCTCGGGGGCCTCACCTTCCGTGTCTCGTGCTCCTTCTTCAGCGTGGTGACATCATGTCTTTTGTGTTCACCTGCGATGGTGCAAGTTGAGCAGACCAGGTTGCTGTCTACTGTGCAGTAGAATTCCAGCTCCCTGCTGTGCTCTCCGCATCGTCGCTCCTCCAGGTTGGCGATGGGAGCCACCAGGAGGTGTTCTCTCAACCTGGGATTCTCCAAGTGAGGCTTCAAGTGCGTCGCACAGTAGGACGTCTCGCATCTCACGCAGGTCTTCACTGCAGGAGTTTGGCCATCCCTGCAGTTGTCACACACGATGGCGGCGGCCATCCCAACTCCAACTCTGAGCTGCTCCGCTAGATTGGCGAGGGTCACGTTCCTCCTCAGCTGGGGTCGCACAGGGAAGGTCGCTCGGCACTGCGGGCAGCTGAAGCTGCTCGCCGTCTCCCAGGCGGCCTCCAGGCACTGCAGGCAGAACGAGTGTCCGCAGCTCAGCGTGGAGGGGCAGACGAACGTGTCCAGGCAGATGGAGCAGCGTAGCTCACTATCCACACTCTCACTGGGAGTCGTGCTCGCCATGACCCATGGCTTCGCTGGGATCGCTCGCTGTGTGGCTCAGAGAGACGCTGGACCAGGACCTCTCTCTTATAGCGACGGTGAAGGAAGTAAAACATGTAAAATATTTCCATTGTCGTCACTGACATCACGAGTCACTGGCTGGAATGTGAACCCGCGCCCGAGGTGTGAAAACAGCAGCCTCAAGGTGAACACGGCTACTGTACACACCTCGACATTTAAATAAATTAGTGCTGTTAATATCAATCGGTGAGGCTCAACTGCGGTGGCTCATTCATGCGATGAGTGTCGAGAGATAAACTCATCCTTCTACAGCACGTTGGTGGCAAGATGTTATCTCTCTTGCCCGGTATACAGGAGGTCGTGGGTTTGATCATGACCCTAACGCATGCTTTATATTTAAAATTTGCGTCTCTCTCCGTGGTCACGTTCATTTTTCCCCGGGTTCTCCGGTTTTTCCCTCAACATTTACAATCAACATCACGCATTTAGCGTAGTTGGCCGCAATACATTTCGTTGAACTATTATTTGTGGCCAGGTTTTTTTTAAGAAGAGCTACACAGCTCAGTGAGCCTTACCAAGGAAAATTTTAATAAATTGTTGGCATAGTTGTAGATATGTCATGATGTCCTGTAACTTCATCTCCAGGTAATTACCCCAACGTGACGAGTTGCGTGAATGTCATTGTAGCATCCGAGATGGAATTTGTCTGTAGCCTCCGTTGACCTATCCTGGAATCTTGAGCCTTTTGCTAGCAGTGTGAATCGATCACAAACTCTACCTGCCTCTATCACCCATTGCTGGCGATGTCACCGTCTCTCACTCTCGCCTTGTCCGAGAATGGCGATTCCCGTGCCGACCATTCACAGCCGCACCCACCGCTTACTTCACCTGCGTTGTTGTTTCACATTCACACGCAAGGCTACTCAACACGCATACACACGCAGCAACGCAAATGACCATCAGTGTTCACCATTATTGTTACAAAATACGAATAAAACTAAAATATGTTTTATTTTACCAAGTGTAATGCTCCACTGAGCTGTTATGTTATTTTTTCAAAGCGACCTGCCCATCACAAATGATAGCTCAACAAAGTGGCTCATCATGTTGGAAATGTATATCAGCCAAATAATCTAAATACTGTCCTCTAAACGCTGCTTGAACCCGGAGACGCTCCCTTGGGCTCTGCGGGTTGTTCACAGCAAAATAACGAATGCCTTGGACTCTACACCCCAGTCGGACTCGTGGGAAAACCCGACCTAGATTCCACTGAATACGGCCTGGAGTCATCCACTTTGCTTACTAATGGGAAAATACGAGGCACTGCGTTTGAAAGCTTCCTTCTACAAGGTCACCAATGCGAGCAAAGGGGGTTCCCACAATGTCCACGGTTCATTCCTCGGTGCAGCAGCAGCAGCAGCAGCGACAGCAGCAGCGACAGCTATGTGCTTAGTGAGGCGCAGTTGTTCCAGGTCAGGCAGGCAGCGTGTTCCGCCGCGGGTTTTGCAGCCAAATCCTCGCAGCGTCCCGGGAATAGACGGTGAGGTGACAGCTCAGCACCCCTCGGGTGTCAAGCAGCCCACACTCGGTTACCCATTCAGTTACACTCACACACTCACTAACACACTCATACACTCACACACACTCACACACTCAATTATGAACATCTGTGCTCACACAATCTTGGGATGACCTCTGGAAGGAGGGGGGTTTTATAGGGGTTATAACATCAGGTTTCAGGATGTCCAGGCATACAGAAAAAAGGGGCAACTAGGCTGACCAGATCAATGCAAGGGACGTGATAGGAGGACCTTTGGACTTTTGATGTCTTGAAAAGAAGTCCCTATATAACATAAGAAAATCATGCAAGTCAGTCTTGCAGAGGCAAACCCCGGGGTATGGTCCTCGAAATCAACCATAAGTGCCGAATCTTGCAGAGGCAAAGGCTCTGTGTTGCTAAGTGTTGAGTTCTGCGTTGACAGACTCTGAGTATCGCTGAAAGTTTTATTCTACTTTTTCCTTCATGTTTCGCGTGATTTGCAGAGTCAAAGACTTTGCGAAGTTGTACTGTACTAAGCTAAGAGTTGTAAGAAGCTAAGAGGTGTGCGAATGCATTTTCATATAATTCTGTTATCAGCTGAGACGTGTGAGAAGTGGAGATTTCAGATATACACCAATATCGAGTGTGCATGAAATGTTATCCAAGCTATATGCTGAACAAGTTATGTTGACCAAGTGACTGATACTCTGATGATAAGAGTCTTGATGAGTTCTGGAGAGTGCAAGGAGCAGTGAGACAACGGCGCACAGCAGGAGACCTCCCGACGGAGGGGAGGTGGTCACCAAGGGTGTTCGCGCGAAGCAGGTAGCTGCTGACAAGGAACAAGGAGCAGCGTGGCCACAGAGCACTGCAACTGGCGATGGAGCCTGGAGTGCAGATCACCTGCAAGCCGCGCAGCGCAGCTGCTAGTGGCTGACTACGAGCGTGCCGACTCGGGAGCCCCAAGCACCATGCAGCGTGGAGCGAGCGCGATGCACTGACAACGGTGGCAAGGAGTGGCGAGCAGCAGGGCTCTGGTGACGCGATTAGGGATGGCATGAGGTGCAGCTGTGTGGTGTTCATGCCTCTGCGTCCATGCCGGTGCACGACCTCCCGTGCAGCGCAACAGCTGCAGCACAGCTCCACTCCGACAATCCGTGGCACTCTCTAAAAATGTTTTGCCACAACAAGTTTGGACCAAGCCTGCCGTTCTACTGCTTCTTTGTGGGACATGACGTGTTGTTCAGAAAGAAACATGAACTTGATACTCACCATGTGTCACAGTACCTTGTACAGGTTGTGGGCCAAGAAGAATCTCAGCTTGCATGCCTCACATACAACAAGGGAATTGTGTCAGGTCGCGTTACCATGAGACAGCCTATTGTTTTATTTTAATCACGTGATTGTGAGATTCGATCGTTGATGTTCTTCTAACCATTTGATAATCATTTATTTTATGAATCATGCCTGCATGAATACGATAACTTTGATATTAGCGGAGTTTTTTTGGAATTGTATAATCTTGCTCCTCGCTCTCTCCAGAACTCATCTGATCATTGATGCCTTCTAAACATTCCATAAGGATACCATTTTTTAAAACACAAATGTTGACATTGATACCGTTGTTGTGGGTTAGCCTGTAGGTTTCCTTTGATCACGTAGTCGGAGATCTGATTGTTGATGCTTTTAACCATTTGATTCGCATATTTTCAGACACGCATTCCATACGGATATTGCTATTTTATGGTCGGCCTATTGTTTTTATCAATTGATCGTGAATATTATCCAATAATTGTTTTTTTGTCATTAAAAACGGATTTATGGGTAGGTATATTTGCATGGCTACTTTCGTTGCTATAAATTCCTGCTGATAAGAGTTGTGGATAATGGAGTAAGTTGATATTAAAGTTTCTTAGATTAAAAATAGGTTTCCGAGTGCTTCTTTCCTAAACTCATGCATCATTGTCGTAATGATGAACTGTCTCTTGCGGTAGATCCGAATCCCGAGACCTGACATAATTACACACATAATTGTTAACGCGAGAATCATAATTGTTAAAGCGAGAATTACAAATGTTAAAGCGAAAATCATAAAATCAGAGCGAGGATCATTGATATCACGATTGCTGAAACAAACCCCTAGACCACGAGAGCCAATAATAATTCCACCGCATAATAAAAGCACAAACAAACCCATAATCACTAACATAACACACAATCATACATGCATACCCCTACACAATGAGATCACACACACATATGTACATACCGCTAGACTATACATAATCGCTGTGTAAGAAAAAAAAATGTTCCTGGGTAGTTTCCTGGTCAAAAAAGCAAAGTTTGTGGGGAATAATAGCCATTTTCTATACTTTTGAGGCATAAGCAATTAGAAATTAACAATTAAAACCCTAGAATAGAAATTGTGTTACATGTACACACATTAATTCTATATATTTTACACACATTCTTAATTCCACTTAGCACACATTTTTAGTTGAGCATACTAGGCTACTGTCTACTGTGCAGTAGAATTCCAGCTCCCTTCTGTGCTCCTGGCACCATCACTCCTCCAGGTTCGTGATGGGAACCATCAGGAGGTGGTCACTCAACCTGGGATTCTCCAAGTAAGGCATCAAATGACTTGCACAGTAGGACATCTCACGTCTCAGGCAGCTCTTCACTTCAGGAGTCTGGCCACCACTGCAGTTGTCACACACAACGGCCGTGGCCATCCCGTCTCGAACTCTGATCTGCTCCGTCAGGTTGACGAGGACCATGTCCCTACTCATCTGGGGTCGCACAGGGAAGGCCGCGCGGCACTGCCGGCAGCTCAAACTGCTCGCCGTCTCCCAGGCGGCCTCCAGGCACCAGAGGCAGAACGAGTGTCCGCAGTACAGCATGGATGGGCAGACAAATGTGTCCTGGCAGATGGAGCAGCACAGCTCACTCTCCAAAATCTCATTGGGAGTTGTGCTCGCCATGACCGATGGGCTTTGCTGGGATCGCTCGCTATGTGGCTCAGATAAATGCTGGACCAGGGCCTCTCTCTTATAGAGATGCTCAAGAAGGAAATTGAACACTAATGTGAACCCGTGCCCCTAGGTGCTCAAACAGCAGCCTCAAGGTAACCACGTCTACTGTACACACCTCCCTAGATCTAAATCATAGAGCTTTGTTGTCAATATAAATTGGAGAGATTCAGCTGGGATGGCTCTTTTGTGAGATGAGTAAAGAGAGATAAACTCATTCTTCGACAGCTTAGGGCAGGGGTCGGGAACCTATGGCTCGCGAGCCAGATGTGGCTCTTTTGATGATTGCATATGACTCGCAGATAAAACAAAATATTCTCACTTGTTTTAATCCATCCATCGATTTTTCACTGCGCATGTCCTGTTCAGGGCTGCAGGAGCAATTGTCCATTATTTTAATTGGATGATACTGGCCGTTTGCCGTTGCTGGGTAAAACAGGTAAACGCCCCCTTTTGAATCAGTCTGAGACTGCGTCTGCTCGGTCATTAGCTCAAAGCTAACCCTTCGACGAAGAAGATGGCGAAAAGAAAAAAAGACGACGAGTATCGTACATTTCAGGACGAATGGACCGAAGAATTGCGCCTTTGTGGAGAGAGCGGGTTCTGCGGTGTGTCTAATTTGCAATGACAAAATTACATCGTTGAAACGGTCGAATGTAAAGCGGCACTTCGACACGCGCCACGCTACCTTTGCATCAAAATACCCTGCGGGAGACAGCAGAAAGAAAGCGTGCCAAGAGCTTCTGAGCAGGGTGCAAGCTAGCCAGCAGCAACTCCGCGTATGGACCCGGCAAGGTGACTATAATTCGGCTAGCTTTGCTGGTTCTTTAGCAATAGTGAGGAACGGAAAACCATTCACAGATGGCGAGTATGCTAAAACGTTCATGCTGGATGTAGCCAATGAACTTTTTGATGATCTTCCGAACAAAGACAAGATAATCAAACGGATACAAGACATGCCTCTGTCGGCAAGAACTGTTCATGATCGTACCATCGTGATGGCAAACAAAGTGGAGGAAACGCAAGTGAAGGACATAAATGCAGCGCCGTTCTTTTCTCTGGCTTTGGATGAGTCAACAGACGTGAGCCATTTGTCGCAGTTCAGCGTGATTGCAAGATATGCTGTTGGTGACACACTGCGCGAAGAAAGTCTTGCTGTTCTGCCATTAAAAGGGTCCACAAGAGGTGAGGATTTATTCAAGTCTTTCATGGAGTTTGCTCAAGAAAAAAGTCTACCTATGGATAAACTTCTCTCAGTGTGTACTGATGGTGCTCCGTGTATGGTGGGGAAAAACAAAGGATTTGTGGCACTTCTCCGTGAACATGAAAATAGACCCATCCTAAGTTTCCATTGCATTATACACCAGGAGGCACTTTGTGCTCAGATGTGTGACAGGCAGTTTGGCGAAGTGATGTCGCTGGTCATTCGTGTGATCAACTTTATTGTTGCCCGAGCCTTAAATGATCGCCAGTTTAAAACACTGCTGGATGAAGTTGTAAATAACTATCCTGGTCTGCTTTTGCACAGCAATGTGCGTTGGTTGTCAAGAGGGAAGGTGCTTAGCCGTTTTGCGGCTTGCCTGAACGAAATCCGGACTTTCCTTGAAATGAAAGGCGTCGGGCATCCTGAGCTAGCCGACACCGAGTGGCTCCTCAAGTTTTACTATCTCGTAGATCTGACTGAACATCTGAACCAGCTCAACGTGAAAATGCAAGGCATTGGAAATACAGTGTTATCCCTTCAACAAGCTGTATTTGCTTTTGAAAACAAGCTGGAGCTTTTCATCACGGATCTTGAAACAGGTCGTTTACTACATTTTGAAAAACTGAGCCAATTTAAAGATGCATGCACAGCAAGTGAGCCCATTCAAAACCTTGATCTCCACCAGCTAGCTGGCTGCACATCCAGTCTCCTACAGTCCTTCAAAGCACGCTTTGGAGAATTTCGTGAGCACACTCGTCTTTTTAAGTTCATCACCCATCCAAACGAGTGTTCACTGAACACAGCCGACCTGAATTACATCCCTGGTGTCTCCGTCAGAGATTTTAAAGCAGAAGTGGCTGACCTGAAGGCCTCAGACATGTGGGTGAATAAGTTCAAGTCACTGAATGAAGATTTGGAAAGAATCACACGACAGAAAGCGGAGTTGGCGAGCAAGCACATGTGGACAGAAATGAAAAAACTCCAACCCGAAGACCAGCTGATTCTCAAAACTTGGAACGCGCTTCCTGTCACATACCACACACTGCAGTGTGTGAGTATTGCTGTATTGACCATGTTTGGATCTATGTATGCATGTGAGCAGTCATTCTCACATCTTAAAAACATCAAGTCCAACCTACGATCACGTTTAACGGATGAAAGCCTCAACGCTTGCATGAAGCTTAACCTCACCAAGTACCAACCCGACTACAAAGACATCAGCAAATCCATGCAGCACCAGAAGTCGCATTAATGGTGAGTGTTATAACAACATTATTTAAAAGAATAAATTCAGAGGCTTATTATACTGACATTTAGTTGAATTCACTTTTAAAATATATTATATGGCTCTCACTGAAATAAATTTCCAAATTTTTTGCTTTCATGGCTCTCTTAGTCAAAAAGGTTCCCGACCCCTGGCTTAGGGCGTGGTGTCTGTACCGTTAACGCTGCACTACGAACCCATCAGACCCAAATTCGATTCCCACTCACGTCAACCACCACAATTTGTAACGATTATCTCAATCAGTCCTGGGCCTCATCCCCTAGGTCAACTTAGCCTCAAATGTGTACTTGGTGCAGTGTGTCGTAAACATCGCCACTTGGGAGACAGAGGGGACCGGGCGTGGTGCTGACCACCCACCCCCTCGTGTGCCGTTCCGGATTTCATAGGTGCTCACTAACATCACTTGCCCCTGTTAAGACTATATGGGTATCTTTGTTTTTATAGCGGTGTATAGGTATCCGTGTGTCTCTAACCTGTGTGTGTGGCTGTGCGTAGTATTGTATATGCTTCTGAGTGTATCTAGCCTGTGTGTGTGTCTGTGCGTGGTCCTGTACACTATATGATTATGTATGTTTCTCTCTGTAGGAGGAATCGGGAGCGCAATGGTTAGCATGCTGTGCTACAAACCCGGCAGCCCGAGTTCGATTCTTGCTCACGGCCACCACCAGTGACGATTAACTAATTCAGTCCTAGTCCACCTCTAGGTTGACTCAGCCTCAAATTAGTACCTGGTATGATGTGTAAACATCGCCACTCGGGTGAAAAAGGTGACCGGGCGTGGTGTTGGACACCCACCTCCTCGTGTGCCGTTCAAGCCTTCATAGGTGCCAGTTAAAAACACTCGCCCTAAGTCTTTCAAGGCTATATGGAGGATCGTTGTCGTTGTATTGTATGAGTGTCTGCGTGTCCCCAGTCAGTGTGTTTCTGTGTATAGAACTGTACATGCTTTTGTACGTCTCCAGTCTGTGTGAGTCTCTGTGGGTAGGATTGTACATGCTTATGTGTCTCCTGTGTGTGTGTCTATGAGAGGGCCTGTACATGTTTCTGTGTGTCTCCTGTGTGTGTCTGTGTGTAGTACTGTACATGCTTGTGTATCCAGTGTGTGTGTCAGTGTGTAGAACTGTACATGCTTCTGTGTCTCCAGTGTCTGTGTAGTACTGTGCATGCTTCTGTGTGTATCCAGTGTGTGTGTCGAACTGTACATGCTTCTGTGTCTCCAGTGTCTGTGTGTAGTACTGTACATGCTTCTGTGTGTATCCAGTGTGTGTGTCAGTGTGTAGAACTGTACATGCTTCTGTGTCTCCAGTGTCTGTGTGTAGTACTGTACATGCTTCTGTGTCTCCTGTATGTGTCTCTGTGTGTCGTTCTTTGCATGCTTCTCTATGTCTCTAGTACTGCAGAACAAACAGGTAGTTGAAATGTTTGCTGGGTAAGGAAGTGATAAGCTAAGGTTTACAATGTTCAACACAATCGTGTATAAAGTGTGCAAAAACAAAGTAAATTAACAAACAACTATTTGAGACGACATTTTTTTGTGGCCACATCATTTGAGTTATTCATACGCAATCTGAAAATACCGTCTTCAATTCAGTCTTCAATTTATTATTCGTAGGTGTACTATGGATACGTGTTGTGTGGTTAATCTTGACACCACTGGAGACTTGTAGAACCACACGGAGACGGATCTTCAGGTAAGGGCTTACGCCAGTTGTTCATTTAACATCTTCACACACGACTCTGTGTACTGCACACTCACTTACTAGTTACCCTCTACACTGGATGCCCACACCCATTATGGTGCGGGTCAGAACTCTGGCCTGCACGTGGAACTGTCTCCCATTATTCTGCGCCCTGGCACGGCTTCCCCTCATCTGCCCTGGGCGGGGGCACGCCATCACCGCCCGGCGACGAGGTGAGGCTTCTAACCCTCCAGCCTTCCCTCGGCGGCAACTGGGCTGTTCCCACTGCAGGCACTCGTTCCCATCTCTACTCACACTCCACACCCCAGGGGAAGGGTACTGGGAATTCCCTAGCACTCACACAGGCTACTCTATCCTGGTGCTAATTTCCCCCTACCCTGGTCCCAACTTTCATCTTCACACCTTCCCGACTCCACGCGACGACCTCGCGTACGTCAATACCCCAGGGAGACATGACGTCACCTGCCCACCCGACGTACATGACATCACTGTCTGACGTCACTGCACCGGAGGGTGAGCGTGACGTCACGTCATTAATAACTACTCTACATACGTATAGGTTAGTTGTTCCAGAAGTTGGTACCCCTGCAAGTTGTGAACGGTACATAAAGGATCCCGTGGATGTTATACCGGAGTTGGAATCTGAGCCTGACTTGCACTGCACTAAACACGTGGCCTGGATGTATTTGGTCAGCTTATTAACTGGCATAAGTGTGGCCACGGTGCGTGAAATCGAAATAAAACCTCTTTGAAACGTTCACGAATGCATCTCCACTGCCTTGCAAGATTTCCACGTTTGCAAAAGTTGCATTGACACGTGGCTAATTAAATTATCAAATATTTGACCAATAATGTTTTCCTTCTAATTTTTTTATAGTGTATATGTAATGTTCCTTGTAGCTTAACTGTGATTATTAAATATTGTATTGTAAGTTTGATGTTCATGAGAAACATTTAGCATTTGCTGATTTTCAGTTGCCTGGGTGAAAAGTGGGCTTGGTATTGTCCAATCCGAGCC